GCAAAATTAACACTGTGATGCAAAGAGGCATTTCCAGCTCTCTGCAGGGAGGCTGCTCTGCCCACCCACCCACCCCAGCTCCTCCAGGGGGCCCAAACATACCTCTTCTTTTTATTTTTTCTTCGCTTTTTAATACAGGAACACATTCTGAATGCGAACTCTTCTATGAAAAGGCCACTTTTAATATTAATTGCTTTGCCTTCATAGAAGAAACTGGTAAAATTGTATTTTTAGCCACTGCTTCCCACTGTTGCAGAAAGCCACTTGATTAACTGTGACTAAAAATGTACCTTGTTCCACCTTAACAATAGTGCTAAAAAAAGTGATAAACAAAGCTTGCGGTGGATGAGAAATCAAACGATCCAATTCGCCTCAAGGACTCTTTTTTTCTAGTGCCAAAGATTACACCAAAAAGGGAGTTGAGTATAATCTTGGCTCGGGTTTGTTTACAGGAACTTGGGCTCAATATATTGTCAATACATTGTCACTCCACAGTGCTGCACAGTTATTGGGATCCACAGGAAATAACATAATAGATAACACAATTACTCATTCTGCTGACAGAGCCCCCCCTCACCCCACCACAGGGATGGCAGCATACTCTCAGCTGCCTAAGAGTGCAAAAAATCACTATATTGTGATATCTGCCTTTGCCTGATTCCCTCTGCCCAGTGACTGACCCTCCTGAGACACCAGCAGAAGGCTTGGAACAATCCAAGGGCATATTGTGCACAAGCTCCCAAAGTTACCCGAATACAGCTCACTCAGCAGGGCTCCAGAGCCACAATTTAAAGCTAAATTGGCTTGCTCTTCGCAGAGGAACGATGTTTCCTTAGGATTAGCAATAAAGACTGCCTGAGCCAAGCTGACAAATCAGCCCTTTACCCCAAAATGTCAGATTATAGGCTGCGATATTCTATTCAAAAGCCACGGAAAGAGTAATCTGTTCAACATTCCCGTGTGCTCAGCTAAAGTACACTTAATTGCATCAGTTCTGCAAGCCCAGAAAATAATAACACTGTGGCAGCACAAACCACAAGCAGCACCGGGAGGGCCGTGCTTTAAAGCCCACTGATAAAAACCTTCACCGGGAAGGTTTAAACATCTCACCTCAGCTCACCCCCCTGAGCTTGCGGGAGCTGCCGAGTCCCGTCCCACACAGGTCACTCAAAGGGCATCATCCATCAGCTGCCCCGCTAAAGCAACCAGCTTTTGGCCCACAGAATGTACCGTCCCATGCTCTCTCCGAGACCCTTTTAGCTTCTAGTAATGTCAGGGTGAGGTAATGGCAGATTTTTGGCACCCACCCTGCACTGCCTCGATTCTGTACAATGCATTGTGTCAGTGCAGTGGATCCAAGCCTAGCTGGGGACTCATTAATCCACGGATTTCATTCCTAAACACACCATTTTCTGAAACAACAATGCACATTAACTCCTGTGGAGTTGCTAAAGTCTGCTGCAAATCAAAACCTGTTTGGGCTCCCCTCACTAAAGTCAGACATTTCAGTGACCATAGGGCCCAGGCTCTGCCAGAACAGCTACCAGACATCAGCACTAAGACTCTACTTCACATCCGTAGGGTAATTTTATTGAATTTCGGCAATGTTCTTGGCTCAACAGTGGCTTTACAAGGTAAAAAAATCAGATGTCGATTGTTTTTTTTTTTTTTTTTCCTTTTCAAAACACACGCAGGCACTAATCCTGGAATAACAGGCTCATAAAGCATCAGCTTAGAAAAATGCAGCGACCCCACTGATCCAGGGAGCTGTCGGCAGGACACGGTTGTGCTTCCACCCTCTGCTGTGCTGAACTCCACTTGGGAGAGCAGTGAGTGCACACTCCTGCAGATCAACTTTCCCTCAGCGAGTGACTGGGAGGCTGCACACAGCCAACTTGTGACTCAGGGTATGGAACAGGGGACAGCACCAGCCCTTATGGAGTGATATTTCCAGCCTCGGGAGGAGCAAGAGGGGGGGATTTTCCCTCCTGGTACAACACAAGTTTAGGGATGGAGGGATGACAGAACTGTCACCTGCAGCTGCTGCTGCCATGTCTCAGACAGCTCCCTTAACTCCAGGCTGACTCCAGTCACCTGATGTCTGAAGGAGGAGGTGTCTGTGCTGAGCATCTCTGTCACTCAGGCTCCGACCTGGCACTGTCAGACCCATCTCCCAGCACCCTGGCTGCTTTACACCGAGATTTCTCAGAGGCTACAAACACAGCTTAGTAATGGATGTGGCCCTGCATGTACCAGGATGCTACTCTGGAAATAAAACATTCCTTATGTACAAGGTCCTGTTCCAACAGAACCTGCTGCCGACAGACAGTCCCCACTCTCACAGCGCCTGGCACTTTTGCTCCCAATCCCATTGCTACACCCTTTCAGTCCCAGCCTCCTCTCCTTCCAGCAGGAAGGAGCCCGGGTGAGCAGATGTTTTCCTTCTCTCCCCCATCTCCCAGGCAGAGCTCCGTCGCCTGTGGTGGGCTCCATGTGGGCAGAGCTGCCGGTGGGCAGAGCTGCCGGCAGCCGCGAGGCAGAGCCCAGAGGCAGAGCCAGTCTGGGCACGTTTCAGCTGCCTTTGGCTGGGGGCCACGTGGAAGCTCGGCAAGGAACATGCCCAGGAGAGCCCAATGTCCATCAGGGGTGAAATCCCCATGTGGGATGGAAAGCATTCACCCCTCCACCGAGAGGGAGGATCATCACTGAGGGAGGACCTCACCCGAAGCAAATCATTGATAACCCTTATCTCCTACCCATTATCTCAAACTAAATTTTCTGGGAAGCCGGACCTTTGATTAGTGAATTTGAAACTATGTGAGTGATCTTTCACCCACTGACAGCAAGAGCTCCCTTTGATGCTCAGGTCAGACACAGCTCTGGGACCATCCTGCCTGTCCAGAGATGGACACGGCAGCTCAGCAGGAAGGAAGCGTGACTCGTCTGAGTTTCTGCTTGTCACTTTGTCACAGTGTGTGTTATTCAAGAGATGGAAGGGAAAAAAAACCCCAACCCAAGCAGCAGGCCCGGGAGCTGAGACAGAGGGGCGTGTGGTGAGTCTTTTTATTTTTTCCCCTCTTAACAGACTGAGATAAATGTAGCAATCCCAAAACGTGGAGGTGGGGAGGACGTGTGTGTGCATGTGCCTTTTATCAACTGGCGGATCATTGGATGTTTCTGTTGCCAAGGAGAAGCACACGCTTGGTAACAGAGGACAGCAACATTTTTTTTTTTGCATTCCTATATGATAACATTCACCAACCTTATCATTTTTCTCAAGATGAGATTCAGAGCTCTATATTAATTCCCACTCCGTGACAAATTTACTGGAATGAAAAAAAAAGAAGGAAATAACTACCAGAGAATACAAGAATGCAATTGCCAAGGTGCAATCTTGGCAGCAGCACAGTGCCAGGGCTGCTGGAGCTGGAGGGAGTTACATGTGCACAGCCCCACTGGTCCAGGGAGCTTTCAGTAACAACCTGCTTTGGGGACAGGACACCGTTGTCTGTTCAGGGGCTGATACAGGAGAAGCAGAATTCAATAGCTCACAGAATCACTGAGGTTGGAAAAGCCCTCCAAGGTCACTGAGTCGAGCCTGTGCCCGATCCCCACCTTGCCCCCAGCCCAGAGCACTGAGTGCCATGGCCAGTCGTTCCTTGGACACCTCCAGGGATGGGGGACTTCAAACCTCCCTGGGCAGCCCCTGCCAATGTTTAGCAACCCCTTCCATTCCTCCTGATGTCCAACCTGGACCTCCCCAGCACAGCTTGAGGTTATGTCCTCTCATCCTCACTTGTTCCCTGGGAGAAGAGCCTGCCTCCCATTTCACTAAAAACTCCTGTCAGGGAGTTGCAGAGAGCAAGAAGGTCCCCCCTGAGCCTCCCTTCCTCCAGGCTGAGCCCCCCCAGCTGCTCCTACAGGACTTACAAGTTGTGCTGCTAAACAAGAGCAGCACAACTGTTCACGAGGGGACCCCGGGGGGCTTGTCCTTGCTCTGTTTACTGCCCAGCCAAGCCCCTTCTACTCCTTATAACGCTGCGCCACGTCCTGACTGATGGGCAAAACCCTCCATGGAAGGGCTCTGTATAACAAACTAAACGCAGAGACTCTGAGCAGACTTTTCTAACCAGCACTCCGGGAAAAACCCATCCAGTGTGCATCCCATCATCAGAGAGATTTGCCGTGCACTGTGCCAGCAACTTGCGACGGCCGGACCGTGCCCCGTCCTGCGGGCACCGCAGCATCTCCCATCGCCCCGGTGCCCGACGAGCACCCGTGTGCATGTACCCACACGCGACATGTCGCGACTAAACTAAACACAGCGACGGGTCCTCAGCAGCACGAGCCTCACCACGGAAAACACATTTCTCACCCAAAAAAACCCAACACCGAAACCAAGCCAAACAAAAAAAACCCCATAAACAAGCGGGGGAAGGGGGGGGGGGAAGGGGGGGTGGGGAGGGGGGGAAGATAAAATTAAAATTTAAAAATGAAAAAAAGAAATAAAAAAAATAAAAAAAAGGAAGACGAGTCAAGGCAAGCGAAGTATTATTCCAAGGGGAAGGCGAGGTTGCAAGTGCGGGGGGAAGCGCCGGTTCCCGCCGGTAGCGGGAAGTTGGGGGACGGCGCCGAGGAGAGCTCCGGGGGGGCTCCTCCATCCTCCGGGGGCTTCTCCAATCTCCTCCCGGGGGGCTCATCCTCCGAGGAAGCTCCTCCATCCTCCAGAGGGGTCCCTCCGTCCTCCGGGGGCTCACCTTCGGGGAAAGGTCCTCTATTCTCCCAGGGGGGCTCCTCCATCCTCCGGGGGGTCTCCTCCTCCCCAGGGGGCTCCTCCGTCCTCCGGGAGGGTTCCTCCGTGCTCCCCAGGGAGCTCATTGTCCCGGGGGAGGCTCATCCATCCCCCCGTCCGGCAGGGACCCAGCACCCCCACTCCCATCCCCTTCCCACCCCACCCCCTACAGCATCCCCCCGGAGGGTCTCCCGGGCGGGCGCGGTACCTTCTCTCCGGTGAGCACATGCAGCCCCTCGCGGACCTTGGCGAAGGATCCCTCGCCCAGCTTCCTGCCGATCAGGTAGTTGCCGACCCTCTTGGTGTGCTGGAAGTCGCGGAGCCGCTCCCGGGGCGCCGCCGCGCTCAGCCAGGCGGCCAGGAACGAGCCCCCGTCCGCCGCCGCCCGCCGCCCCTCCGCGCCCGCCGCCACCGCCGCCGGCTCGCCCAGGAGCCCATCGCCCGCCGCCGCCGGCATGCCCGGCTCTGTCCCCTGTCCCCCTGCCCTTTCCCCTGCCGCTGCCCCCGGCCCGCGGGGCGGTCACCCGAGTTGCTCCGGGCAGAGCGGCGGAGGCTCCGGCGGAGGGGCTGAGGTGCCCCGGGCTGCGGCTGCTGCTGCTGCTGCCGCCCCTCCCTCCTTCCCTCTGTCCTCCCTCCGTCCCTCCTCCTCCTTCTCCTGCTGCTGCCCCGCTGCCCGCGTGGAGGAGGGACCGGGAAAAGCAGAGGGAGGGACTGGCGGAGGGAGGGAGGGAGGGGAAAGAGTCTCTCATTCAGTTTGAATTTTGCGGTAATTTAATGCGCTCGCACGCGGCGGGAGCAGCTGCGACCCAGACCCGGCGCATCTGGGTGTCTGCAAACCCGGCTGCCCCCTCCTCCCCGCCCGCCCCCGGCATCCCAGCGCGGGGCTGCGGAGCATCGCCCTCCTGGGAATTAACCCGGGGCTCCCCGCCCCCCGGAATTAACTCGGGGCTTCCCGCCCCCGGGCACGGCCGCAGTTTCGCTCTGTATGTGGCTCTGCTGTCCGGGAGTATCTTTTGTGTTGCTTTTCCCCACCTCCCTTCCCCGAGCACGTCCGAGTCCTCCTCGGGGAAAGGCGCGACCGCTCCCGCTGCTCCGGCGGCTTCGCTCCGCGCCCTCCCCGCCCGCTTCTCCATCTCCTCCCTCCCGGCTCTCGGCTCCTCTCTCCCGCCGCCGGCTTCGTCTTATTTCTCCTGTCCGGCAGAGCCGGGATCCCGGCTGAGCACCACCCCCCACCCCCCCCATCCCGCAGCCTGCATCCCCCAAATGCTCCCTCCTGGCAGCGAGGAGACGACCTGGGCTCCCATCCGCGTCCATGGGACTGTCCTTTCCCGACTGATCTTCCCTTTCCTGGCCGATCTTCCCACCTCTTGGGGAGGGAGAAGGAACGAGTACATTGCCATTGTCACCTCGCAGCCTCGTTCCACCCAGCTGGAGGCTGCACTGGCAAACGGCAGCGGAGGAGAGCAAGGATGAGGGATAATCCACGTGTTCAAGTTTTGCCCGCGCATAGTTGCGTTAGGGAATATTTCGAAATAAAAAAGGAGCCAAGTGCACCCTTAGCAGATGTGAGTTGTGTCAGCAAAACCTTCCCTCGAGACGCAGCTTTACCTGACACCAGCCTGACACCAGCCGGCCTAGGGCTGTGCTCCCATCCCATCCCGCCCCAGGCAGAGCCGCTGTTCCCACCAGAGGGCTGGCAGACACACTTCTCTCTGCTTTTTAAGCTCTTCTTTGGCTCCCTTAGTTTCCCACTAGCCCCTCCAAAATGTACTCCTGGTTCCTAAATACAGCATGGTTCCAAGGCTGAGAACCCTGGGACTGGCTCCACACCACCATGCTCAGTGAAATATATGTTTTCAGACGAACTTTCAGACAAAACAGAAATCCAACACTGCTCCAGTAGGCAGAAACTGGAGAAGGGAAAGCTTCAAAGCCCATAAATAATAGTTTGGATTGAAAATTTCCACTCATTGCATGCACTGGATTCACTTACAAGTATTACAGCACACAGCCACCTAAGACAAGAGTGTGCATGTCCTCTGACCAAACACTATCCCAGGAGCAGTTTGGTCCCCTGTGGGAAGGTGTAGGGACACAGGACCATGTCCCACTGCCTGAACTGATGGAGCTGGGGTGATTTTGGCATGACACATCCCTAAGAGCTAAACTGGAGCTGCCACCCTTCCCTTCCCCTGTGCAATGCCACGGCAGCGTGGTTGTGCTGCTGTGCTATGAACAGGGGCTGGGAGGGAACCCAGAATGTTTAAAAGTACCAGGAAGTTTAGGACAAGTCCCCTCCTGACCTGGCCACCAGAGAAATTGCAGTGTGAGCACACGGTGAGGCAGTGCAGGTGACCTGGTATCTCCCTGTGCCACGCAGATCTCACCCTCAGACAAACCACCGCGGTCATCAGGCCTTCCTGAGTCAACTGGAACTGGTAAATCTGGTTCCAGCTAGTCCAAATGGTCCCAGAGAGAACTGGATTGAGGTTTCCTAAATCGAAGCTGAAGTGGGAAGGTGCCAGGAGCATCCCTGTGTTTGCAGGGAAGGTGACCCAGCCCGTGCATAGCTCAGGAAAGTGGCAAGGCAAGATCATTCCGTGGTGAGTCTGGTCTGTGTCACGGATTCTCCAGTCTGTGTGACATATATGAGGGGTCTAACAACATTGCTGTATGGGAACAAGGGAAAAAAGGGGGCAAAAAACCCCCCTCTGTTCTGCAGACTGGAAGAGTAAAAAGTACATATTGTTTTCAAGTTGGAAAGAGGCTGCATCCTGTCTTACTGAAATATATGACTGTGCTGAGGGGGTTTGGAACTGGACCCTTCCCCTGCCCAAAGGAACATTCCTTCAGAGAGACAGGCAGGCAGAGCTCTGTGCCTTTGTTTGGGCTCACAGCTCCTACTCCCCTGACAGAAACACGGGTTTGGCCACTGCGAGATGTTAATGGTATGTTTTCCGGTCCAACACCTGAAAATCAGCCTCTTTTAAAAATAAAACTGGCAAGAAACATCCATTGCAGCAAACATTATGAGAGTTCTGAAAGAACCCAGTGAATATATTTTTTTAATTGACTCAACTTGAGGACTTAATGAGTTGACAGTATCCTTTTACCCGGCTGAGACCGCTGCCTTCTCTCGATTTCTGTCCTGTCCAGCTGTGCCCATCAGGGTGCAGTCTGGATGGAAAGGGGATCAAAGGCTGCATTCATTTCTGTCCATGTTCTAATTTGAATTTAACTCCAGTGTGCTTTACTTTGAGCTACAGTCTTTCTAGGTAATGACATTTGCTGATTAACTGTTGAAATTACTAATGAATTAAAGGCAGTAGTCTGTCTTCAGGTTGCAAAAACTGTAACAACAAGCTACTAAAAATTTAAAACTCTATTTAAACCCATGAAAGCAAAGAAATTCAGCATTACCCTGACAGCATTGTCCTTTGCCATCTCCAGCTCTTTAAGATATTGCAGTAAAATGTGTTATTGGCTTTCAGAATGGAACCCATCAGCAAAACATTTCACCTTCCTGTGCTGGTGCCTCTTCTGGTGCAGCTGGTGGTGGCATTTAACGTTTACCTGCCACATCAGCAGGTCCATGGTTAACTGCTGACTTCAGTCAGGTCATAGGAGAAAGCCTGACTTAGTGCTGATAGGCTAAAAAAAGAAAAAGTCAGCCTGTTATTGCATATGCTTTCCTTGGTATTTCAGCCTGTTTTAAAATAACTGGGGATTTTGCAGGTTTTTTTTGTGTGTGCTTGTGGTTTTTTGTTTGTTTCATTTGGGGCTTTGTTTTGGGGTTTTTTGTTTGTTTTGGTGGGGTTTTGTTGGTTTTTTTTTTTTAAATTTTTGTTGTTTGTTTTTTATAGTTTTATTTTAGTAATATTTGGGTTTCAGATATTACAGGGCTGTTATTTAAAGGAGATTTTTTTGAAGTGAGAACCTGTTTGTGTTAGCATAAAAATCCAGATGGGGGGGCTATTCTTAACTTGCAAAAAGAAAGGGGTATAAAAGGAAAAGGATGCTCTGCCAACATGAAAATAATCGTGGGACCAACTCCCATTCTCCTTATTTATGACGTTTATTTGTTTAATAGCACAGCTCACACAAGGGAGAAGGCAAAGATCTGACTTTTGATCCCTGCTCCCAGGGCTTTGCTGGGAAGGGAGGCAGAGGCAGGTGTGGAGGATGAGTGGTGGAAGCAGGAACAGCGTCCGGAAGGATGTGATGGTGCCGCACAGGATGTGTTGGTTTAATCCCGAGCACGTCACATGTGCCAGTCTGCTGTCACAGAAGTACTTGGGATACACTTCCTTTGCAGGATCAAGAACTTCAGGGTGGCCTGGAAGAGACCACTTTCTCACTCAAGCACAAAGAACTCTCATGGTACAGCTACCAAAATCTGAGAGGTTTGTTCATTTCAGGAAATGTATTTATTGTAAAATGCCTGGAAGGTAAAATGATTTTGTTTAGCTTGTTTAATAGCCTGGACACACGTACATGGTTTAAAAACCAGAGACATACCAGGCTGGCCCCTGTTCATCTCACAGACTCCCACGGGACGAGTTATCCATGAGTCCCCCTGCCAGACCCCCAGGCAAAGGTTTGAGAAAGCAGATGGGCCTTCCACTGTGCCCTGAAGGTCAGTGGACGTCGGCTCTGCGAGGCCACTGGGAGAAGTAAATTCCTGAGCTGAGGATGTTTCACGGAGAAAGCAGAGCTTACACTCTCCAGATGTTCCAATTGAGGGTGTGTCAGCAAGAGCTCTCTGGCTGGGCTCAGCTGTCAAGATAGTGCTTAGAGGAGGGGAAGAGGAAATTCCTCAGGCAGCCTTAGTCTGCACTGTGCTGTTACACTGGTCCAGACCAGTGGGTTTGGACTCACAGCATCAGAATCTATGGGGGAACCACCCACCCACCTGGAATGCACTGGCTGTGCATTTCATAGGGAGCCTCTCTGTCAACAGTGCACCTCATACACCCTATTCTTGGGTAATTCTTTCGTAAATTACCTCCAAGTTTCCTACAGGACGAATTGATTTTTCACTCTGTACTGGTTTTGTTTTCCTTCCCAAAGCTTGGGGATGCGCTGTGCAAAGCCTTCCTCCCACAGCTCCTTTGTTTCTCACCGTGTTTTAGTCCACAACAGAATCTCTCACCATTGTACAGTTCCCTTTCCAAAGTGCTACACCCTCAAATCCCTGCTCCTGCCTTGGGTGCTGAGCAGCAACTCCAGAAGCTGCCCTCAACTCCCTCCCCAAGCTCCCTTGGGATTCTTGGCCCAAACCAGACTAGCTCAGCAATACTTGTTCCATGCTCAAAGGGATGTTTGCTCTCATTTATTTTCTGTTTCTTTCCAGGTTATTCATCTTTCTTGCTTATTTTTCAGTTTCAGAAATGTTATCAACAAGCTCGAGTCCCCTATCACATTGGTTCAAAGAGCACAAAGGAGGAGGAGCTCTGG